ATTAAGTACAGCTTAATAGTCCATTTTATGGAATTTCCTTATCAACCTTTAGTAAGAAAATAACAGTAATTGATTGAAAAATGACTCGTTCTACTTTGCCGCCTTTGTTAGAATGCTTCCACAGAATCCCCATTTAACAGTTAATAATTTATCATTCAACTTTGAAGAAAACTTGTCATGTGTGATGTTAACTTCATCATATCTAGTTAACTGAATTTTGTATATTTAACGCGTACGCGCAGTCTGATCAGGATCCATGCTGTTCGCTATCAGTTTCTCTACTTGTAATAGGGTTGGTAAGCGAACAGCATGGATCCTGATCAGACTGCGCGGATGCTCAGGCTGGTCTGGATCCATGCTGGTCGCAAACGCACTATGTTGGTTTTGTCGCGACGCGACTCAATTCATTCTTAATGCGTTAAATATACAAAATTCAGTTAACTAGATATGATGAAGTTAACATCACACATGACAAGTTTTCTTTAAAGTCGAATGATAAATTATTAACTGTTAAATGGGGATTCTGTGGAAGCATTCTAACAAAGGCGGCAAAGTAAAACGAGTCATTTTTCAATCAATTACTGTTATTTTCTTACTAAAGGTTGATAAGGAAATTCCATAAAATGGACTATTAAGCTGTACTTAATAATTAAGAGCTGTAATTAAGCTGTACCCCAACTTATTACAGATTTATATACTGAGGAAAAACACAAATAAAACAGCGAAATACATAAGAATGTAACCTTATGTGTTTTAAACATATTTATTTAAGCTCGATTGCGAAACAATTTCTATAATCAATTTTTCCATTAATGTTATATATAGTATATGGAAACATTTCCTCTGCAATCGAAATTTTCCAAAAACGTGTATAAAGTATGTAAATCAAACAATTTTAAGTCCCAGATTTACATTAAAACATGTTTATATCATTTGATTGGAATAAACAGTATATAAAGTTATACATGCCCCCAACCACAATATTTCGAAATATCAAACTTGAGAAGAATTTGTACCATTTGCTCCAAAAAATCTCCGTTGCGTAATATAGTCATACCGTGTACAAATTTCGGTACACGGTTCACTCGGTCATATAATAGTGCAATGACCTCTCCAATTATATAGTCATCGTAAATTGTATTCACAACACTAAATAACAATACCCAGTATAACACATAAAAATTTTACGGTATTATTATATAGGATTTAACCTTACCATAGCATACTTTATACATGTATATATATATATCATTTAAAGACCAATATTTTATCATTTCAAAATGAGCAACAGCAGCAACAACAATAACATAAAAGTTCAACCGGTTACTACTGCCCAGGATATACATCATGTTGCGCTTGGTCATCTGTATATTTCAATGGAAGAATAAAAAGTATGATAATATGTTGTCATTAATTGTAAGCAGAAAATGTATGTTTAACACAGATTTGAAAAGCTCCAGAGTGTTTGAATTATTCACAGTATTTAGAAATAATACAATGAAGCCATTAATGTACTCGTAGTTGAAAATCAATAGTTATGATTCCATCTCAGAATAAACTTATATATAGGTCTTTTAACCCATCGTGTATATCCAGTAACGCAGGAATGTGCAAATAACATAAACGTAACGCCGAATCTGTGCAACGCTGTGGCCAAATCGAGCAAGACGGTGAGTAAACCGAGAATATTTTATCCTAATTTAAGTTAAAAAAAAATAAATGAGCGCATACGGCTGTGAGGACATTATACTTTAACCAGCATTTTTTTTCTAGAAATATGTTTACTTTTTTAAAACTATCCTTGAGAATGACGTCCTGACTACCGCGAGAAGGCGACTTTTTGGCTTGTGAAAAATTAATCAGCACAGCAACGCATTCAAAACTTTATGTTCTACATAATCTGTATACTTGAGACATTTTCCAAACTACTATAATACAACTCTGAAGCAGGTAAAATAAAATTCTGCTTCTTTTTATGAGTTAACCAAAGTTGCTCACGAAATCGGCGTTACGTCGTTAAAATGGCCTCCTTACTAAATTCAGTGTAATATGACACGAGTAGTTGAACAATTGAGCCGCGTCACGACAAAACCAACATAGTGCGTTTGCGACCAGCATGGATCCAGACCAGCCTGAGCATCCGCGCAGTCTGATCAGGATCCATGCTGTTCGCTTACAAACCCTATTACATGTAGAGAAACTGATAGCGAACAGTATGGATTCTGATCAGACTGCGCGGATGTGCAGGCTGGTCTGGATCCATGCTGGTCGCAAACCCATTATGTTGGTTTTGTCGTGACGCGGCTCAATTGTCTCAGGTACATCGAAAATAAAAAATCACAATGTTATACATTGTATATACTTTTTGTATTTAAATATATCTATGAAACACGATAATTCCCATTAATACACTAGTCAGGTCGTCATTCTCACGAAAGATCTTGAAAAAATAAACATTTTCATGGAAACATTTTTTGATGACGTTTAGATAATAATGTGTCAGCAACCGAATGCACTGGTTCATTTTTTTCAGTTTGATGCATAATGAAAAAAAATTATTTATTTTCCGTGGTCAGAATTGCATGATTTTGCATTTTTTTGCACAATATCTTCGTCCAGCGTTACTGAATATACACGGTAAAACCTGTCGGTAATATTTATAACGAATTTATGATACAGCCAAATTCTCTCTTATTAGTAAATATTGAGATTTCTCATAAATTGACAGCAGCCGTGTATATATAAGTTATAAAGATCTTTTGACAGGTTATATTGCCCTATGTAAACGGTTATAATATTGCAAACAACCGTTTATATATACGGCCATAAAACATGACAGAAATATTTATAATGAATTAATAGTACAGTAAGCATCTACTTTTGGAGATTGACAGTATCCGTGTATATAAAACGGATTTAGCTCAATACAGGATTGCAGTAGCACTTTGTAGAAATCTACGCTTAGAGAAATCATGATCACAAAATAGACAAATATCGTGTTTTTTTTGCCAATTTTTACATTTTTCATTCAACATCTCACATAAATCGGTGTGAAAACATGAATTAGAATTGTTAAAATTCATTCCGTTATGTAAAAAGGCAAAATTTTAGCATTTTATGATTCAGGACTCAGCCCGTTGAATTTTCGTACTATTTGTTCTATAGTAAATCAGTCACATTTGAGACTTAATTCTGGATTCCACTTTTCTTGATAAATTATATACTGTCTTAAACTTTAAACATGAACACTATCTAAGTCCAATGAGGCCCAAAATATAATAGGTTGGCCATCTACTTTTTTCAGAAATCTTCATTCTGTTGTAACACTGTTTAAATTCACCACTTTAAAAACTCCTGACAGCTGGTGGGTAGTACATCTTTAATCCTTCCGCCAACAAATGAGTTCCTGGAGAATTTTTAAAGTCATCATATAACACACAAAAACTACACATATGCAATAAATACACTTCAATTATGACTTAAATTGGGCCACTTCAAAATTTTAAAGAACTACTTTCTAGACTACAACGGGTTGGGTCTAATTCCGTACCGGGTAGAGACCATTCAAGCGCCTTGTCCGGTATATATACCTGAATACGGTATTTAGTGTGGTGCTCCAATCCTGTTTTTAGTCTCACTCATATAAAACTATATAAACGTCACGATTATTTAATGAAAAGCGACGTTACAAACGTTATATGAATGATTAATGAACTTAATGATCAATTTGTAACACAACTCGACTCAACTCAACTTTATTAGGCTATCGACATTTATATATACTATCACTGCCATTGGCCAAAACATATAATACAACATGAACATCTGGTAAGAACATGATCATAAAATGAGTTCTTATATTGCATATAAATTCGTAATGATAATAAACAGTGTAGAGATGTTACACTTTACATTATCTTTCATTAACAGACTCCATAAAACAGGGTGATTTTCAACTTTTTTTTTGTTTGGTTTTGTTTACTTTTTATTTCGATGGACTTACCTTATTCAGAATATGTCCATTAATATTATCTTTTTTTAATAAATATAAATTACCAAGACAGACTCTTAAATCTTGTTTGCAAAATACATTGTTTTCTAAATAAACGTACACAATAATAACAGTTGTTGTAAATAATATCATTACAACATAATTGGTCCATAATTGTGACATTTATTTTTTCATCTTGGCTACAAAACAATAAAATTCACATATTAACCAAATAGTATTTTCGTCCAAGTCGATTTTTTAAATTCATTTGATTGATAAGTTTTTTTAAAGCTACATGCCTCCAGACAAGCCAAAATATTTAAATAAAATCAAACTTAAAAAACTATTACTTAGACTTTAGAAATGTAAAAATATTAAAGACTCAAGTAATAATTGACATGTTATATGTGGTAAACGACTGATTTTTTCAATATATTGACTCTATTTCTACTGCGTTACTAACGCAGTAATGGCAATTTTACACAATTTAACCTCATTTTAGTAATTTACATGAGTTGTAAGTGAAATTAATTAGGTGTAAATTGCTTCTTTTTGGTCACTTCACATTATTATACGTTTAAACATATTTTAAAATTTTTCATAAAAATTAGCATAAATCTGGAGGCGTGCTGCTTTAAAAGGAAGGATTGAACAATGTGACAGGCATTGTTGGGGATGTTGAGAATCAGATAAACCATGTCCTAGCTGTACCCAATGTTTGGCCAATTGCATTGATTGTATATACTGATGCCGACTGCCTAACACAGTTGAGCTGAGTTCTACAAAACCCAAGCTTTTACTATTTTATACATATATATACAACAGTGTTTCTCCTTATTGACATCTAAATTCATTGGCTATAAATATTTTAAGTTTACAATTTTCTCAACCCATTAAAATAAAGAATTAACTGGTAATTAATTATTCAATCAGCATATCAATTGTTTTTCTCAAAATCAATACATATGGATTCAGACATTAGTTTTCATTTGACGGAACGGAACTGTTATGAAACGAGTTCAGGTACATGTTAATTAATAAACATACGAGTAGCAAAGAAAAAAGTGACCATTATATTATAATAATGTAATGAATACGTAAAGATTGTATATTCCATGGAAAACAAAGGGATTCAGGTGATAAAAAAAATATATCAAATTCAGTCATGCAATAAAAGTATGGACATAATGATCGTCATGTCGTGTATACGAGTTTTGATTTGTTTCATGAATATTTATCTTTTTATATCAGCGGATAGTGAACCTAAGATTTACTTTAATTATGAGCTAGATACAACACCTTGTCTGACACCTGTAACAGGATACAGTATTCAGGATTGTTTAAAGCTTTACGAAAACAACCTGGAAACAACCAACGTTATGGTCTACAAGAGAAGATTTCTCCTCTGTCAATTATGTTTTGTCACCAAGGAACCAATGAAAACGAAAACACCTGGATGTATATTGGCGCATCAACAAATTAATGGTAAAATGCAAAATTATTTACTAACTGTTTCATTTTTATTTTTTTCCATAACCAACAAAAACAAAAAATATAAATAACTTAAAAAAAATTGTCCTCATAAGCGTTTAAACTGCAAGAGCCCGAGGTTAGATATTTGGTATGCAATATTATCTAGTGTGTCTTCTTCAAATTATAATACTAAGGGCAAAATTGGCCTCACCCTAGGTCATTGATTTTCCTTGTATGTATTAAGTTGGAACTTAACTCTTCTCCAGCACAGTCAGGAGCTGAGATATTTCATCATGACCTCGTGAGCTACCTTAAAGTATTCAAAGCTACAACTAGGAAATTAAGACTAGATGCACATTTGCAGATGCAAAACTAAACTTTGAACATTGAACTCAGCTACATAGATTTTGATCCACTGACTTCATTTTTACATTTTGAGCTGGGCTGATAAATTCTAAACTATGTGCACAATTTCAAATTTAGATTTAAACATTGAAACGAGTTGACCAAAATTTTAACCGTATGACTTACTTTTTGTTAAAAGAGCTACAACAATGATAATTGGTCTGTGCGCACAGATTTAGATGCAGAATTAATCTTGATTTTGACCCTGTGACCAAACATGCTGTATTGTGAGCAACAGTTTCAGATTCGTGACAAAACCTGCTGTACTGTGATCAACAGTTTCAGATTCGGATTTGAACAGTGATAAAGATTTGACCTTGTAAACTACATATTTGTATTTATAGCTAAAGCTTTGAAATTTGAACTATGCCCACAGATTCAGATGCGGTTTTGAACTTGAATATCAGTTGCCTTACATTTTAACCTAGTGACAAACCTTTTAGCCCACCTGAACATTATGTCTTATACAGGCAGTGTTTCTTGGGTGAGCGATATAGGACCCATATTGGGCCTCAAACTTTTGTTATTCGTAAACACAAACCATTATATAACAAGTTTCTCTGTGACTTTAAATATTTTATAATGGTTAGTTATCATTCCTATCCATTAAAGGTAAGAGGTGGGCATATATGCCATTTTGACATTTCTTGTTCTCACGTTAAAGGTAAGAGGTGGGCATGTGTACCATATTGACATTTCTTGTTCTCAAGTTAAAGGTAAGAGGTGGGCATTTATGCCATTTTGACATTTCTTGTTCTCAAGTTAAAGATAAGAGGTGGGCATGTGTGCCATATTGACATTTCGTGTTCTCAAGTTAAAGGTAAGAGTTGGGTATGTGTGCCATATTGACATTTCTTGTTCTCAAGTTAAAGATAAGAGGTTGGCATGTGTGCCATATTGACATTTCTTGTTCTCAAGTTAAAGATAAGAGGTGGGCATGTGTGCCATATTGACATTTCCCGTTCTCAAGTTAAAGGTAAGAGGTGGGCAGGTGTGCCATATTGACATTTCTTGACCTCAAGTTAAAGATAAGAGATGGGCGTGTGTGCCATTTTGACATTAAATGTTCTCACGTTAAAGATAAGAAGTGGGCATATATGCCATTTTGACATAACTTTATCTCGAGTTAAAGACAGAGGTGGGTCTAGGTGCCATTTTGACATTTCTTGTTCTCAAGTTAAAGATAAGAGGTGGGCATGTGTGCTATTTTGACATTTCTTGTTCTCAAGTTAAAGGTAAGAGGTGGGCGTGTGTGCCATTTTCACATTAAATGCTCTCACGTTAAAGATAAGAGGTGGGCATGTGTGCCATTTTGACATTTCTTGTTCTCAAATTAAAGATAAGAGTTTGGCATGTATGCAATGTTGACATTTCTTGTTCTCAAGTTAAAGATAATAGGTGGGCATGTGTGCCATTTTGACATTTCTTGTTCTCAAGTTAAAGATTAGAGATTGGCATGTATGCAATTTTGACATTTCTTGTTTTCAAGTTAATGATAAGAGGTGGGCATGTGTGCCATTTCGACATTTCTTGTTCCCAAGTTAAAGATAAGAGGTTGGCATGTGTGCCATTTTGAAATTTCTTGTTCTCAAGTTAAAGAGGTGGGCATTTTGAGATTTCCTTATCTCAGGTTTAAGGTAAAAGAAGGTATAAGTGCCATTTTGATATTTCTTAATCTCAAGTTAAAGGTTAAAGGTGAGCTTGCTTGTCATTTTGACATTTCTTGTTCTCACCTTAAAGATAAGAGGTGGGCATGTGTGCCAATTTGACATTTCTTTTTCTTAAGTTAAAGATAAGAGGTGGGCATGTGTGCCATTTTGTCATGTCTTAATCTCAAGTTAAAGGTAAGAGGTAGATGTAGGTGCCATTTTGACATTTCTTGTCCTCAAGTTAAAGGTAAGAGGTGGGCATATGTGCCATTTTGACATTTCTTAATCTCAAGTTAAAGGTAAGAGGTGGGTATAGGTGCCATATTGACATTTCTTGTCCTCAAGTTAAAGGTAAGCATATGTGACATTTTGACATTTCTTGTCCTCACGTTAAAGATAAGAGGTGGGCATATTTGCCTTTTGACATTTCTTAATATCACGTTAACGATAAGAGGTGGGCATGTGTGCCATTTTGACATGTCTTATTCTCAAGTTAAAGATAAGAGGTGGGCATGTGTACCATATTGACTTCTCTTTTTTCACGTTAAATATAAGAAGTGAGCATATGTGCCATTTTGACAATTCTTGTTTTCACGTTAAAGGTAAAAGGTCGGCAAATGTGCCATTTGAACATTTCTTCATCTCAAGTTAAAGATAACAGGTCGGCATGTGTGCCATTTTGACATCTCTTGTTCTCCTATTAAAGGTAAGAGATGAGCATATGTGTCATTTTGACATTTCTTGTTTTGAAAATAAAGGTAAAAGGTGGGCATGTGTGCCATTTTGACATTTCTTGTTCTAAAGTTAAAGGTAAGAGGTGGGCGTGTGTGCCATTTTGACATTTCTTGTTCTCAAGTTAAAGGTAAGAGGTGGGCGTGTGTGCCATTTTGACATTAAATGCTCTCACGTTAAAGATAAGAGGTGGGCATGTGTGCCATTTTGACATTTCTTGTTCTCAAATTAAAGATAAGAGGTTGGCATGTATGCAATGTTGACATTTCTTGTTCTCAAGTTAAAGATAATAGGTGGGCATGTGTGCCATTTTGACATTTCTTGTTTTCAAGTTAAAGATTAGAGATTGGCATGTATGCAATTGTTCTCAAGTTAAAGGTATGAGGTGGACATGTCTGCAATTTAGAAATTTCTTATTCTCAAGTTAATGGTAAGAGGTGGGCATATGTGCCATTTTGATATTTCATGTTCTCAAGTTAAAGGTAAAAGGTTGGCTTGTGTGTCAATTTGACATTTTTTGTTCTCATTGTTTTATATGCATGTTGAATCATTTTCGCAATGATATTTAAAAAGTCATTAGTTGTACAATTTTGTTGTTTTCGCGATCTGTTCTTTTACTTGTTTACAATTATAGATGACATGCGATTAAATAATTACCTGAACATACGCTCATATATAGTGGAAGATATTCAGAATTAGAAAAAATGTTATGACATGTACTGTTAATATCAAAGGTTTTTATGAATTTTTAAATAAAGACTTAAAAAAATAAGATTGCAAATATACAGGCATAATAATGTGTATCTTTTAAATTAAAGACATGTCTCAGAATAATTGGGCGAAACACAAACCTTCCAACCAGAGCTCGACATTTTACAGGAAAGTCTTGGGCAATGCATCATCAGATAAGGCTGTAGATGGAATTTGGTATTCAGATATGCACGATGAACCTCGAACGCAATACCAATGCTCACATACTTTCCAAACAAGTAAACATCACTGGTGGATGGTCAACTTGGAACACACGAAACTAGTAAGGAGAATCACAATTTTGAACAGAAGCGATTGTTGCGGTAAGATATAATTTTTCCTTATATATGCTTTCGGAACGTTAATGTAGTTTTTCCTACTCTGCTTTTTTATTTGAATTACAATATATTTAATCATAAACATTGATTTGTGCTCTTTTTGTTAACAAATAAGTTGTGATTAAATTCTTATGGTACCCGCTAATCTGATAATTAGACAGGTTAGGGATCTGTGCATTGGGACTAAATGTCGATTAGTACAGGAACCAAGTTTAATGTCGGTTAAATATCCAGAAGGTTCATCTACTGCTTTTTAATCATGTATACATTGTATGTAACTGACTGACAGTAACTTAACCAGAGCAGCCTACAGAGCCGAGTAGTTAATCTCACTGACTTCGGATCACTTGCTACTCGCGACCGTGTGATAAATATAAGAGAGCTATCCAGAAAGTTTACTCAGTAATTGTTGGTTCTACTCTAGTGACCAAATGCGAAGTGTATGTGTTACTTGTATCATAGAGTTTGGGGACCTTTCTGTTGAAAATGTGTTAACTCGTATACATATTCATGCACAGTGCGTTAACTGGAGTGCAGATATTAGTTACTTAACGGCACTCCAGAACATGCCCATTGATTGGTTCATGTTTGCCTATTAAAAAACAAATGAGAAAGAACATCAAAACACTCGGCGATCTGATTTATACTACCACATTTCGATGCTCTTTCTATTAAATAATACTCTATCGTATCGCATCACTATAAAGGTAAGCATCGTGCTATGTTAACCCTGTGGGATGACCTCTTCTATTAGAAAATGTTCCTGGCATAAGAGTGCCTGAAAACTCTTTGGCAGTTTTTGTTTTCACCAAGACACGTTAGTGTTGTTAAATTTTTCTGATCCTTTAGGATCCTTGATTCCAACACATTGAATGTTGAAAATTGAGTACCGCTCAAACCGAGTCTGCAATTTTCATGTAATTTTGGATGCTTCTTTGGGATCATCTTTTTCAGATATTTCATTTTTGCATTCAATGCCGTTAAATCTATTTGACAATCCTTCAGTCATCACAAGGATTTAAACCCTCAAACCCTGGCCTCTCACATTCAAAACAGTCACTTTATCAGGTCTCTTTGAAATATTAATTAACCAATAAATATATCGCTGCTACCGAACACTTATATATCTTTTGTCCAAAAAGTTTGCCACAATATACATAGCCTTACCTTTCCTGGACGATGCTGCACAGTCTTGACTTAAATCGCCTGCCAACACGTTGTCGGGTTGAAGTCAAAAGTAACATAATGACGATAACATAAATGACAAAGATAATGACGTTATCCAATCATATATGTCTGACATCATATTCTTAAATGCGTTATCACGTTAACAGTCTAAAGATGCTGTTTTGTAAATGAACCTCTCGCCAAAAAAAAGTTTGCATTATTATAAATTCGTTATACAAATTGCTCATTTGATAAACAGACGTATATAGCCTTGCTGGCAAGCATCTTGGGTCATATTTATCGCATTTAGACTATATCATACAATTATAAACTGATGTTTAGATCAATACCTGAAAACGATAGTAAATTTTTTATATCAAAATCGACCATAAAGGCTTCTGTGAATGTTTTATTACATTAGTTATGAATATTACTTGTCAATTGTCAGTTTGAATGCAGATGTTGTAAATTATTTAATGAAATCTCAATTTCACCTGTATTGAGATAATTCAGTACGTTTCACGCAATGTTCAGTCACCTGTACGCATCGTATCGTTAATTATAAATGAGGGGTGTTATCGTAATACTCTTACTCATTAATATACTAGTAGTTTATTATTCTTTCATTGAGCGCGGAGGAAGGTAGTCTAGTACTGGTGTAACTCTCCAGGAACGATGGTTAGGAAACTACCCGCCTATATGACTGAAATACTGTTGGAAAAAGGCGTAAAATGAAACAAGCAAACAAACAAAATTCTTTCATTGCTTTGTATTTGCAAAGTTGTTTCCGCATAATAACTTGACTTATAGACTTATTGACTGTATTTTATGATTGCCTTCAGTCATCGTCGGATACCCAAGGTTTGATTAACATGTAACATAACAAATAAAATAAATGTTATTGGTTCAGCCGTGAGTATCCGACGATGCCTTCAGTGAGTAGAAAATCCTTATTGTTTTTAGCGCCGACGCGTAAAGGTCACGGTCACACTGTCCTATTTTTGTTCATGAAAACAATGACTGAACCATTTAATCAGTAGTTAGCCTTCAAACTTCATAGGATGATGACCTTAATTGAGTAGAAGATCCGTTAACGTGCACCAAGATCATGGTCTCAGTGAATGTGATAACTGTTCTCGCTCAATAGCTATGTAACCAAGTGATTCATAACTATCAAACTGTGTAGGATAATCACGCACCTTCAGTAAAAGATCCATATTGTTTCGGTGCACAGATGCATAAAGGTCAAAGTAACAGTGACATTTACTGTAAAAAATGTTTCCTCTCGACTTCATCAATTGCTGACGTTCGACCACGTTTTGTAAAATACCAGTCTTGATTTGAGCAACGATGCACAAAGGTGAAGCTTAAACAACCTTTCTCTTAATTTGACCTAAATTCGTCATATTACTATATAATATATATATGTGTGTGTGTGTGTGTGTGTGTGTGTGTGTGTGTGTGTGCGTACGAGCGTGTGCGTGCGTGCGTGCGTGTGTTTTGGGGTGTCAATGAATGAAGTTGAAGGTCACAATGACCTTGAATATGAAAAACTTCTCTGCTCAATACATGATAAAAAAATTGACAATCACGTTTCAATGTTTGTTTTCGTTTAATTTTTATGGAATTGATTATGTTTTTTAGAAGAACGATTGCATAATGTGACAGTCACTGTTGGGGATGTAGAGGGTCAGATGAAACAGTGTGGAAGATTTATGGGTCCAGGTGGTAAAGGAGAACGTGTCCACATCTCGTGCTCGACACCGCTCTTTGGACAGTTTGTGAAGATAGAAAAATACAGCGATACCAGTTTAACATTGTGTGAAGTTGGAGTATATCCATAAAACTGTTTTTTTTTATCAATAAAAGCTCTGTTTATTATTATTTATTTTTAGCTCTGTTGTGTATTTTGCTGATAATTAGTTTTCTTATTCGATATATATTCGATGACGTTACTTTTTTGTTGATGAAATAAACGCATGATTTTAGTGAATTAATTACTAAATGAACATGTGATTTATGTCCAATTTAAAAACAAACATGTGTATTTGTTTTTCACTACATAGTTGTTTTTATATGCAAGAATAAATATTCATAAATAAAATGAGTATATAGTTGCTGCTTTGTCTGTTCTTCTGCTTATCCGTGTGTCTGTCTTTCACTTTACTAGGTAAAAGCTTATCTACAACTTGATACTATGAGAACAAACTCTAATTCTAGTGTTAAAATGGTGTTACAGTGTGAAAAAGTTTATTGCACGTTAAAACTATTAAAAGCAGAAAAGAAATAACTCCGTAATGAAAACTGCTAAAACCAGAGAATAAATTGAAAGTATTAAAGGATTTTATTAAAACCTTACGCAATGATAGTGACCAATGTGAAGAAATGCTTAGTTTAAGAAATATAATTTTACCTTGCTTTAAAAGTGATTTAATTGTCTCCATTATTGAAACTTATTCATGGTTAATTATTGTGGCTGATATGTGTCTTTTCTTGTTTTTGCCGCGCGACCCAGCCAAGCGATAAGAATTAATAAGTGAAAATGGCGGGGACGCGAGCGAAAACACGCTGATAAGCGAGGGCGCGGGATAAACATTCAATGATACATTATATTATACACGTATACGTCACATATAAAATGAAAACAAAATACACTGATTATCGTTTAAAACAAATTTAATCTTCATTTCTGACCATTTAACTTCTGGACTTTTGTTTTCTGGCCCAATCGTCGTTTACATTGAGAGAAGTAAAATACACAACAACAACAAATCATCAACAAACAAACAAACACACAAACAAAACACACACTTTGAATTCATGTATGTAAGACATTCCATAAACGAATGGAAAGTTCATCAATGCAAATCATAACATCGATATTAGCTGTAAATCATTAGTGTATTTTCCCATTTCCAAAACATTGACTTGTAAATATGTCGTTTATATGAAATTTTACATATTAAATTAATTAACAATAGCTGAACTATGGTGAATCGTGAAATTATAAAAAAAGCTGGCCCTCAAGCGATGGTACACAGTTTTAATTTGTTCTCCCAAGCAACCGTACAATTAGTTAGCAATCAACTGAACAGTTAGGAGACAACACCAATGGTGAATTATTTGTCTTTTTCCCTAAACCACTGCGTTGATACCAGATGCTTTAAATATTTGTAAGATCACATGATTATTCAAAGGATTTGCTCGTATATTCGCTCGTAAAGCTTGAAATCGGTGTCCGAAGTCAACAATTGTGACATTTTTTTCAGAATACGGGTGGGGTGAGAATCGTATTTTTATGGAAATTATAAGTTTTTTTCCGAAGGGCTTAGGCCAGAAAAGATATCTTTTATGTAACTTCTAGTTATAAAGGTAACAATTCCACAATGAGTGGTCTTAATGGAACCTATTTATCAATTTTCAGTTCAAAATGGGCGTTGTTTCGGTATTGGCTCGCTAGCAAGCGGAAGTGGACAAGGAGTGTACGCTGTGATCGTGACTTTATTGTATTGTTGTTTCCGCGCATCGTCACTTCGTTTTAGCGCATCGTCACTTCGCTTTAGATCATATCCCTGTTCTTCTAAGTTTCGTCCAATGTTTTCTCGTTTATGACACACACTTTCATTTACTTGGAGGCCATACATTTATGGAATGGCACGAAAGTGTCACATTGAAGGTTTCATGATAACCGCCGTATGAAAACATCTGTGACTTTTTCGTCGATTCGGCGTATCCCTAATTCACCTCAGTCTATGGTTGCGTCGCTTCGGTGTTTTTGTATTAATTTAAGTAGGTGGTGCAACAAAAAGATGACCCTGAAACATCCACTTTTGAGTCAAACCAACTTTTGGGCAGCACTGAAATATTTGAGGTGGAGTTCAAGATGACGGTCGATATGTATATACATCAATATATCTGTGTCATTAAGACAGTAATAAAAATAAATGCTTGATATTTAAGTGGTTTCATTAATTTTACGACTTGAAATATCTAAAAAAAATGCAGCTATATAGCAAACTACTTTAGTACTTAAATTGCAAATGTATTCCTACCCTACAAATTCGATAAAGATCATGTTCTGTCAGCCATTAACAAGATATCTTTTGGTGACATATTGTACCCCATATCAAATATGATAGGGGTGTAAAAATAAAATGCATATAATGTGATCTAAATGCATTTAATTTCAATCTAAATGACTAGTAATAAGTAAACTAGAGATAAGATTTATTATAAATTAAATTAAGTTATGTGACGGAGATATCAAGCCTGTTTTACATCAGTTAATACCTTACGACAAATTTTGGCTTTCATCCCGTACATTCTCGTGGTTTTTACGTTTGTCAGGTACCAGTCATGTTTTGAAAAGCGTATCTGTTTGATGTACCATCACAACCGCTGTCATTTTGAAATGAGACGACATGTGTTTTTTCCGGAAAGAACAAAATTTACGTGATTGAAAATAATTCATTCAATAATGGGACGTGAATTTCATTTAAATGATTATACACTTATTATCTTGTAAAGCATGGTGAATTCTTATAATATGGCATCCACCTTGGAAGCCATCTTAAATGTTTCATTTTTCCAGTAGTGGCAGATTGACACAGCCTGGATTCTTTTCAATGCAATCTTTCTACAACATTTAACATAGTAAAAAAACAATAATTTATCATATTAGAAATGTTTTCTCCGTTTAATATAACTACAGATAGTGTAAATCCACATTTTAAATGAGTCCTGAACAGTTAATAACGTATAATGAAATGGATTTTGATGAGATTTTTGACATGCAATCTCTGCAATTATCGGCACACAATGCTAGTTCATGGATATGTTATCTTATTTATTATTACACACAATACACACCATACAAATAATTGAATATAAAACATAATTATAATAAATTGCAACCATTAGATATGACAAATTAAAATGTTCTATCGTCTGCTTTTGTTAGCCAACTTTATACATTTCGCCTACTTCGGTTTACAAAAAACTACATCAACTACAACATATTATTTTAAAATATATCTAAAATTTGTTTTTATTAATTGAATTTTGATGACCCAAAAGTGCGGTCGTTTGTCTGATGTCACAAAATGCATATATACCTCTGTAACGCACTTTAGGGTCAAATTTTGACCCCAAAGTGCGTTTGATCCCAAAGTGCGATGTTACATAGCCTCATCTTAACCCTGTAGTTTCAGAACATATTACTAAGTAATACATGTAGACTGTTGGAACAAATAAGATGATTATTTCTTGTTGATTTATTTTTTTCTCCGTTTGTTAGATAATGGGTACAATTATGAAAATGTATACGTTTCTTTTCACTTGATATATAGTAATTAATATAATGAACAGTTTACAAAATACGAGTATTCAGTAATTTTATGCACGGTCTTTAAAAAAATGTATTCTTTGTTTTATATTAATTCTTTCATTATTGATTTATTATTAAATATAAAGAATGCAAAAGACATATCAAACTTCGTTTAGTCCTATAATGTGACAGCACGTATCGTATTCAAAGTAGAAATATCATATGTACACTTTCTGTCATTTATTTCTTTAAGAGAGTTTTTTCTGACATGATGGGGTTTGAAATATCTTTCCGAGATTTGTGTACCATTTCATAAAGGTCTGATTCAAATACCTGTTATAGCAAATTTTCAAGCCATTCCCGTTCCTTTTTTCTCTAGCTTTTTATTCTTTTGCAGAATGACCTAAAATGAAAATGTTTTTTTTTACGTTTCAAATGCTTCACTTGCTTAAAAAAAGAAAGAAAAATGACCTTTGCAGAGCTCCTTAACAAAGAATATCAATATCAATATAATAATGGTTGGTGAAAAGACATCATAATTCATATACAGTTAAGCTCATCCAACCAGTATTTCTACGGTTTGGTAAGCAGCCACTGCATTATTTTGATGTATATATACGATAAACTCATATAAATGAATATCAAATTAATACAGAAATGTGCTGCAATAAGTACACTTGAAATATAAAAGGACTGTTAATTTTAGTAAGTAAATTTTCATTAACTTAGTCGGTTACAATTTGACAAATTATAATGTAAACATGCCTTGAAATAGTTTTCATAATCTATTTCAGGCTTATAATATGTTTCAGTTCGTTATAAGGATTTACCCAATGTTTGCTCTTTTATGTTGAAAATAATATCGTTAATGATATTGCTTTGAAATTTTCCTTTTTTGATATCACCAACATATTTACCTATTGAGCTGTACATAATTATCGAATTCTCATTGCCTTTCATTTGTAAGGATGTTAACATGGTGAACTGCGGGTATAATTATACTATGACATAAGTTTAACAAAATGATATCTGCATCACATAATGATAGTGATACCAAAAACACAAACTATGGTAAAATGTCATTTTTTTACAATGTTGCAGAGATTTTGAATATAATACCATCTAAAATCCGTTATTCTAAATCTCTGACATATTTTAAAAGTAAATATAAAAACATATCTTGCAAATCTAATATTTTTTTATAACTTTCATGTCATTATCTAATAATATTTAATTTGCATGTATATTTGTTGAATTGTTTGTATTTTAAAGTGACATTATGCTCATATTTTCATATTCAAGTTGAGCTGAACTGACTATATATTTCAAGATATTGACTGTTAAAATGATGATTTACCAACAGTTTATATTAGATTTTTTTTTAACTGAACGTTACAGGTAAATTCTAATGGATAGTTAAGAACAAATCGTTTTGATCCATGCGTTGTTTATTGTTAATTTGAAATAATTGTTTTTATTAACAGGAATTATGGCAAAATGAAAACTTATTTTAACTTTCACATGTTCACTCATTTATACACTTGGATGGGCATAATGTCACTTTAAATTTGTATGAATGATTTGTAATATCTAAAATGTATGTTTGTCAAACCCATCCAATTATGTTTGTTAGAGGACCTTATAATTATTGACGCTGATTGGTGATTTGTGTGTATTGGTGTGTGTGTGTGTGTGTGTGTGTTCATTGAATATATGTTGTTTGTACTGTACAATGGTATATCTCCATGTGTCACCTTCTTTAGATAAAGATAATAATTATTTTCATTGACATCATTATTATTATTGTTTTTATTATTATTAAGTTATATTAATCAAATATTTCTAATACACGTGTAACTTGATTATCTTCAAAAGTGATGGTTTTGAAAACATTTTGCTTACCATCAATTCAAACACAAAGTTTTGCAAAACTACTTTTTTCCGAAATAGGGATTATTTGCGTGTTCACGGTCATTTGATATATTAATAAAAAAGTACGTTACGTTTTGATGATTCAAGAATATGTGTATGCTGTTCATTTTTTGAAAAATTACAGCCCAAATAATTTCCCTAATAAGCAACTTATAAATAAAATTCAAAACAATCAAAATAGACGCCAATTCAATATTTACTTACGCTAGGTTCCCGAAATGGAAATATTAATACTGAAATTTGTTATAAAGTGAATTTATGCTCTCCGATCGGTGGATTAAATTGCAACACCGTTTTTGTAAACTGGTTCTAATGATTTTAAAAGGCTTTAAATGAAATTCATTAACTTCAAATGATGTCTGATGACCTCTCCAATAATCTTGAAAACGCGCAACGCGACAAGATGAAGACAACACGCTATGCGGCACGACGAAGACAACACACTAAGCGACACGACAAAGACGACATGCTATGAATCAAAATGAAGACAACACGCTACTCAGCAAGATAAAAACAAAGCACTTTATGACACGACGAAGAAATCACACTAAGCTACACAACGAATATAACACATTACTCGACATAACGCTGCGTGGGCAATTCACAACACGACCGGACGAAGATAACATACTTCGCGACACGACGAAGTTACACGCTGAAGACACGACAAAGACAATACACTAAGCTTCAGGTTAAAGATAATACATTACGAGACACGACAAAGGCAACACGCTTTTCCTCACGGCAAAGTAAACATGCTACCCGACACGATACGAAGACAGAACACTCACCACTCGACAAGGGAACATGCTACGCGACACGAGAAGACAGCACACTACACATCACGACAAAGACAAAACACTACTCCACACGAAGAAGACAACACCTTACGCAACGCAACGAGGGCAATAAGAAAGTTGCAACGTGGGCAATAAGAAAGAAAACAAGTTCATTTTGTTTATTGTTGTATTTACAATGAATCAGTTTCAACAAATTTCATCAGCGACATTGGACCGTAACATCTTAAATCCAAGGGTTCATATTAAACAGTACGATTACGCCACCAACTGCAATTGTTTTTATATAAACCGAATACGACAATCCTAGAAAACTTTTTGGGACGCGTCTTACTGCACCAACTGTTGATAATATAGGATTGTACATTATTCTTTCCATGCGTTATAAGCAGAATATAAAATTACATAAACAAATATTAAGTTTAAAATAATCATTACATGATTTTTGTATTATTCGTAATATAATTATAGTACGCTATGCATTAAATGACTTGGTATACATTTTATGCGACATTTATTCAAGAATGACAGAATTATTTGGATGTTTTTGTACAAAAAGAGTGTAAGAAGTTTTACTTTTATTTTGTTAACATATCTAAAAAGTATACATATAATATCCATATATTTTATTGTTTTAACATTGTGAGCTTGAAAATGCTTGATTATGCTGAAAAGGACAATGTGACATCGCAACATCACGCCGCACGACAACGCGCCGTGTGTTGTACTTTGTTAGCGCGAAAACACGTTGTCGCTAGCGACAACACGACGTGCAAAAGTGTTCCAAATCAGCTGCCATACCAAATATATATCGCCATGTAGTAAATAGCGAATTAAATGATTTAACTAGTGGTCAAACACGATGTGACATGTTTCATTATTTAAAGAAGACCATGATCTAGCATTGAAACTGACGTATGATTTATATGTCAAACCTTTTTATTCATTTGTACTTTTTTATTTTAAAAAACAAAATTTCTGGGTTTAAATATTCGCATCTTACACGAATAAAATTAGAAAAAGACTTACTAACTTGTATCGGCAATGTCCGCTGTACCTGCTCCTCCGTGACATAATTAAGGGACTGCAATTCGAATCTGTTCTTAATTGAAATTCACATTTCTTTGTCACAAAGTGTTTTATGCATGTAATACATTATCACAATCCCATCTATACTTGAAGATACTTGTATGATACTTTCTTTTTGTTGTATGTTTTCAGGTAATAATGTATCCCAGAAAAGAACAACCGATCGTCTATATCTCCCGTAGTGATTGTTTCAGCGCATGTCATCGACTGAATAACAATAATCTTTCAGATGAAGATAACCAAGCTACGTTTGGTAAATGTAATAACCCTAAAGGACACGGTCACAATTACAAAGTCGAGGTGACTCTTCGTGGTCCTGTTGACCCTGTGACTGGAATGGTGATTAATCTGACAGATCTGAAAGCTTACATGGAAAAAGCGTTTATGTCAACACTTGATCATAAAAATTTGGATTTAGACGTGGACTATTTTAAAGATAAAGTCAGCACAGCAGAGAATATTGCAGTGTATATTTGGGAGAGAATGGATGAACAACTTACACCTGGACTTTTATATGAGGTCAAAGTGCATGAAACTGAAAAGAATATCACTATTTATAGAGGTGAACTGTCAGAATAACGTACGTCAATTCATGCTCCATTTCGCAAAGTAACAGGAAACTGTGCGATTGAGCACACACCGTACCTGTAGCAAAATAATTTGGCACTTGTTAAAACTATAAAGTTTAGACCGCATTAATTCGGTTATCACCAATCTGCACCCTAACTTTCCACAACTTTTTTTATCAAGCTGTTTATTTATCTTTGACAATGTCTTGACGTTATTGTACTTATTGAACTTATAATCGTCGAATGCAGCATTCTTAAATGTTATCTAATTAAATAGATATGTAAGGTAATTTTATTTGTAACGAAAAAATCCTTCATGTAAAAGAATTCAAAATCATATATTAAAATGTCATAGATGATAAAACTAATTCTTCATCAGATATGGAATGCAATAACACGACAGCGTACACAATTTCTTAGTAATAAATCGTATATATTAAACTTTTAAAGAACATGATCATTATTTGGATTTAAGAGAATTTAGACTTACATTAAATATATTCATGGTTATTTTAAATTACATTTTATGAGTTTTCATATTTTATGCTTACAGTTTGTAAGAAGTTGAGAAGCAATAACTGAGTTGTCATGCCACATTTCATTCCGACGGTTCATAGTTCTCAATAGTTATCTCTTGCATCTTTTTTGTGGTGTATTGAACGCGAACAAAAAAGTGATGTATTAAAGTATGAATACCTCATAAATTTGTACACTCAGTATACACAACTGCCGATTCTCATTTTGACCGACTTTTCAGCAAGGAAGTTAAGAAGTTATTTTATTACTTATTTTCAATGAGGATACGATACTGCATGGGGTGTGGGTTCAAGCCCCACTGGGAGTCGAAATTTTTGTACTTTTTTAATTCTATTTGTGTGGTCAAACTATGGTTTTATTTTAAAATCTATTAAAAATTGTTTAATTTAGATATATTTGCAAATTTGTATGTACATTTTAGTGTTAAATGAATGAAAATTTGGTAGTTTTACTTCCTAAATTTATTATATATTTCCAAATCTGGATAGTCAACTGTCTTTTTTTTGTACACATATTCAGAAATGTATGTCGATAATTATTATAATGAAGATATAAGGATACCCCCATTGACAGCTAACAAATATGTCCGATTTTCTTAACCCGACCCTCTTTTTGTTTAATAAAATCTGACAAACCTGTTTCAATTATCCAATCTTGTTTTAAAAAATACTTTTCCTTGTTTCTGTTTCTTTTCATGTCAAAATTATGGTTATTTCTTGTACGTAAGACAGATAAAAATGAAATAAGTTAAATTATTAACTGACGATGTTTTTGTTCTATAAAATTTATACAAAAGTTTAACTTAAAGCCGCATGCCTCCAGATTCATGCATATTTTGAATATGTATTGAAAATCAAGTTAGTGTGAAGTTTACATATGGTATACGTACATGTTAACAATAGTTATCCACGAAGCATTCTGTCAAAAATTTGATCAAAGATTATTCAATATAATTATCAAAGCAAATTTAGATTTTTAGTAAATATTGTTTAAGTTTATAATGATAGAAAATACAATACATATACAAGTAATAATGGAGAAAAATGAAAAAAAAGTTAAGATAAAATGATTATTTTATATACCTTAAACCTATTGTCCATCCCTGCCTACAGGGCGTATTTACTCGTTCCACTTACAGTACCATCAGTTTTGGTCAGAGTAAATATGGTACAACTGCGTCTTGGAATCAAGATCTGACAGCTCAACAAGGCAACTGGCACACATGTGTGTGCTTATTTGTTTGTGACCTGACGGTCAACGTGTATTTGCATGTCTGTGCTACGAAATTGAAATGTTTTTAGAATCTAAATTAATGCTTAATTCAATTCATTATATTTTTCTTCCCATATTTCTTTATTTTTCGCAACAAAAAGTCCTTGCAATTCAGTAAAATAGCGATAAAAATGTATTGTCTACAATGTAAAGATAATGAGCTGATGCGGTGGAAAGAATATTGTATGACGTTATATTCTAAAAGCTTCTGACAGTTCGTTCACAAAGGCAATGCATTATCTGTTTGTAAATACTGCTCGTTGTCACATTACGAGGGGTGTTCAAATATGAATGCAACTGGATCAATTTACATAACTACATAACAACCAGTGCCAAAATAATGATCTCAATCCTTCAAAATACTCACCACAATGTGATATACAAAGTTTGAGACTTTTGATCCAGTTTGTTTCATGCGTTTTCATTATTTTTTCGAAGTAAACTGTTCAGACACTGGAATAAAGCCGAATCGCGATTTTTTCTTGTTTGAAATTTCCTTCCATCAAGGTGTTTTTTGAGCCTCGGAAATAGGAAGTAGTCACAAGGGGCAAGATCTGGCGAATATGGAAAGTGAAGAAGCTAGACAAACTTTTCCTGTTTCAGCTATTCTCGCCCAAAGGTGAAGTTGCAGTTTTTAGACGGCGAGCATGAGGTACATCTTCTACTGAATCCACACCACTTTTGAAATTCTTACACTACCGTGAGACAGATAAAAAAAAGTCCATCGTTCCTATAAATCCGACACATTTCATTAAATATGTCTCTACCTGTATAACAAGAATACAGCTGTTCTTGATATAAGACCCTATTTGGCGAGTGAAGGGAGACTATGTTAGCTTTAGTTTACACGAGTAGAAACCGTTAATCGACCTATTGTCAAAGGTAGACTGAACTGATTTACACAATGTATTGTATCAATTGAGAGCTTACACATTTCCTATGCGATACATGTACATAGTTCCTTCAAAACGTAGTTATTAGCGAAATATTTGCTTAGTTGCATTTATATTTGAACACCCCTTGTACATTGTACATAATAACGTTGTGACGATTAATCAATGATAAATATTTGGTAAAAATACATTCAATAATGTGGAAAAGATAGAAGGCAATTGTCCTGTGATCATCATTCATATATACAAGTATTTTTCACTTAGTTCTAACATTGGCGACATTTTTTCTTCAGTATCTAAATACAAAATGGGGGGTGACAGCAGTATAGCACAAGGTAAGACTGTACAGAAAAGGAAATCATTTCTGCTCCTGCATGGTAAGGATCGAATAAGTGAACAAGAAAATTGAATGAAATGCAGGAGTTACAAAATACAGAGAGTTAGTTAAACCGCGTTTGGACAAATGATCAAGCAAATGAATTTTATAAATGCATAACATATTACATGGATTCTTTATTCAAATAGAATGAAATACGAATCCTTAAAGAAATCCTAACGCGTCAAGATTGAAACTGTTGCAGGATCGTTTTTATTGAGCCTGTTCATGGACGGTACTGTCAAGTGCAAACTACCGTCCAGGCCCCGGGCTTAGCACTGGGTTAAGCAGAATTCAACATTTAACATGAACTGGTATAATGTAGAATTTTGTAACATCTGCAGATGTTTTCAAATGGCGGTTATCATTGAACCGTCAATGTGACACGTTAGTGCCATTTATGAAAAGCGGCATATGGTCCCCAAGTAAAAAATGCGTGTGCCCTAAACGAGAAAAACAATGGGCGGAACTTAATAAAATGAAATTCTGAAAGGGGAAGTTGTCAGTTAAAAGGAATAAGTTCTAGATTCTCGTGGACTAAAACAGCTTTGTTTTTGCCTGCTCAAAATTGTAAACGAGGGTAGGAACAAGGATGGGACTACATATGAAAGATATAAATAAGAAAGTCAGACTGTCTGCTATCTCAATTGCAAACATTTACTAGGGATATGGACAAATTGTCATTATACGTTTGCTCGAGTATAATATCAGTAGATTCGCACATCATTATACAAAACATATAAAAGACTTTTGACATCATCGTTAAAGCTCACTGACTTTCAAAATAATTATACTGTTTTGCAATGTGTTACTTTGCATAGCTTATAACAATACTTTGACGCTTTTAAATATCAGATTATAAAAGAGAAGGTATTATAAGAACTACTTCGTTTCTTATCCACCAATATATCTCGTCATCAGTTTGATTCTAAGTACTACAAATTGAAGTTACATGAATTATTTTTGTTCCGTGTATAAAACTTAAAAGCTTTATTCCTTCAATTCAATTGATATGGCGACGACTGTGTGTTTATCTGGAGAAGGTATTTTTCGAATCAATATTTGTGTACATTTTTTGAATGTCATTTTAAAACGTTTAAAACTTTTAGGGACTCCAGATTAGCAAAACTTCACTTGCAGACGACACATTATGATTCGGCAAGAATATTTCTTGGACAGAAATCCAATAATGTTCAACGGTATCTTGGACGGTTGCAGAAAACGAACGATTCATTTACCAAAAGATATTTGTGGAGCTTCTTTCAGTGAAGAACTTGACTATTGGGGCGTTTCACCGAGTCACATGGCGCCATGTTGCTGGGAGGCACTGTACCGTAACAAAAATGACTTTGTTTAAATCCGTAAGGTAACAAAATATCTTCGGTGTGAAGCAGGTATCGTTGAAGAAGGAAGTGATATAGCACAATGGAGGGAAAATATATGGCTTTTTCTTGATGAGCCTTCTTCTTCCGTAAATGCAATGGTACGTTATTGTTTAAATGTCTTTGTTCCTTTATTTGACACTTATCAAACATAGTTTATTTTCATCAATAATCAAATGTTTGACAGTTTTTTAAAGTTTGTAACAAATATGGGAATTAAGCTTTGGAGTTGATACATATTCATTTCACTTGTTAATATAAAGAAGTATAATGTTTCGATAGAAATCAAGACAAAGTCCATACTTGTTCTCATTTTCAGTTACTCACATTATGATATCAAATCTTTCCAAATTACACGTATGTTGATGATGATTTCAGATTTGGGGTAGTATTTTATCTTTGCTGATTGTTATGTCAACAAATACAGAGGCCTTGGCAACTCTACCAATGTTCACTGTCGACTTAACAGAATCAGAGAAGAGCGTTCTCATTGAAATTGGCAAATTACTTGGCCTTGAAAATAGCACTAAATATTTATCAATACTGCAATTGACGCGTTTGTTTTTCCTCGTGAAACGTATACCTGCATTTAACATAATGGGGTACACGTTCCTTTCTTCCTTACAAGAATTAAAGGTACTTATGTACTTAGGTTCTTAAACGATTTCTCCTACTAATGCCCTATCCTAATAGTGGTAAAACAAAACAGGAATGATCCTTGCAATATCTCCTCCATAAACTGCTCAAATGGATCCGGCCTCGAACAAGATGGACGCCAAAACTTAAGCTAGAAAAACCTTTACACGACATCTCTTCCTTAACTGTCCGGTAGATTATGATGAAATTGAACAAGAATGACCCTTAGATTGACCTTTAAAAATAGTCTTTAAATAATGTGAAATAACATTTTGTCCTCAACCGGCAAAAGATTTTGATGACATTTTACAGAAATGATCATTTGGCCACCCCTTGTGGCTGAGGGGTTGCTTTATCGGGTTAAGGCATCAGAATTGCAGCCATTGTAAAATTGCAGTGCTCGGGTTACTCAGTCATATATTCAAGATCTAAGGGAGGCAATTCTTTCTTTCATTCACATACATTTTTTTTTATAATTTCGGTGTTTACTTCCCTTTATCTCTATATTTAAAATTTACATAATAAGTCTGATATTATAATTGCACATACACATTGATATGAAACTTATAAGTTTAAACTATTCTATGAACAAACATTTATCTTAATCATCACATGCTATACCATCGCATGTGTACGATTAGTTAATTTACTTTGAACTTCATTTAAAACCAAATTTTTTTATACTTTATATTTTATAAAAATCTGAAAACCACAGTCTTTACAAAATACCGTCTGTCGTTACAGACGATGAAAACTAGCTCTCGAGTAACAGTTTAGCGTAAATTCGGTCGAGCCTCATTGGCACCTTACACAATTACCCTTGAGCAAGATAATCCAGTTTGTACCGACAGACGTAAGATCCTTGTATTCTTTTTCTTCCCGCGGAATGTAATAATTTTAAAATAAACTTATTATAAATATAGTTTATATTATTATTATTATAAGGTCTCTGGGTCACACATAATTAAGGTCTATATACCTGAGTTTTTTAGAGCATATCTCCTTCATGCATTCAGGAATTTTAATGATGCTTTTTAGAACTGTTAATCCCTATTGAACGTTGGAACGTAGTGCCTTGTGCATGAACCAGGTCTGTA